CCAATTCTCCCATCCACACATTTGAGGTGGATTGGGGAATCCTCCCCACTGCAATGTTGTATTCTGACAGTGGGGAACCCACCAAATTTCAATCCATGGCAAGATTTAGTGTTAAAAAGTATTGTTAAATGTTTTTGTGAGCCCAGTAATTCAACTTAAGACAAGCAACCATAAAATGTAAGCAAAGTTTGAACAAATTAGAACCATGTACTCGAATTAGAAGATTCTGGCACCGGGTTCTCAGCACTGGTGTCTCTAGACACAGAAACAGCTAGTCTTCAGCACAAAGGATCCTAGCACAGAAGACAGAGTGTGCATACGTTTACATAAGGGACGGTTGGAGTTAAGTTGACCATATAGTACTAGATGTTTGAAATTTTTACTTTAAGATGTTTGATTTAATCATTGTTAGCGGGTTCAAACTGACCTTTGTTTACCACGACGACAAGAAAATTTGAAGGAGCAGAATGGAATTTTTTCTCAAACACATGTCTAATAGTGAATGTGGTTTTTGGTCAGGAAAGTTCATTCACTCCAAAAATGAATAATAAAAGCAAAAGGTTCTGAAGTATTTTCAAATGACATTTATAAAGTCATCTAATCTACTGATGAGAAGTTTCATCCAAATGTTTGTCTACTAGTGTAAGGCCAGCTTAAAGGGTTACAGGTAAGACAAATTAACAATGGAGGAGGGTCCTTAGTATAGGGCAACAACAATGTGCACTGAAATCTACTAGTGCTAATCGTTTGATACACAAAGCCAATGTACTGATGTATCCTTTTCTGTTAACGTTCATACTCTGTACAATGCACACAAGGAAATTGTATTGTTTACAAGGCAAGATAAAATCTCTGAGTGAATATTCATTACTAGAAGTTTTCATTCAACTAACTACTAAGACACAGAAACTGATTAATCCACAGTGACTCAAACAACACAGTATAAGCAAATGAAACATTTTATAAAGCAAATATTAAACAGTATGGATATATATATATTATACATTTGTTCCAATTGAATACCATTAGCAATCTAAAAAGCAAAATATACAACAAAGAATGGGGATACATAAGACAAAGCATAATTACTTTTTTATGGCACCAAGTCCCCAATTCTTGTATTAAGGCACTTATCTCTCTTTGATCAATCATTTCTAAAGTGAGCATTTCTTGAGAACTTATTGATGAGGCCATTTTTGTATACATAAGAAATCCCATGTGCATATATAGAAATACACATACAATTTGTAAGATTATATTGAAGATCATTGCATAGACTAGCATTTAGAAGGTTGAAAAAGATTAGGTCCCTTGCAAGATACATGATACAAACAAATTAAACATAATAATTAGATTTGTTCCCCATTAAATGTTAACTCATATTATGTTGCTCCCTTTTGGCACAGGCAGTTTATCCCATTAGACTATTTGTCATAAGGGCATATATTCCCTACAGCTACAGAGGCAGCAGAATAATAACAAAATATTTATCTATATAATTAAACTTTCTGAGAGGCAAGAATCAAGAGTATGCTATAGATCTATTATATACATATAGGAATGCAAGTATATGTAAAGAGACAGAGGAATAGACACCTTAACGTAATCAATAATAAATGTATAGTTAAGTCTCATACCTGCCCTCAGAAATGTACTCATTTCCATGTTATTAATTTAATATTCTAATCCCACTGCATTACATTCATTCATGACACAGTACAGTCACTCACTGGGAAAGCGCCCAGGAAACTGTCTGGGAAGGGGAGGCACCAGCTTTAAAATAGCCTCATTGTGATTCCCACCTTGAGTGGTTGCTCTTTTACCATTCTCACCTTTTCAAAGTATTGATTTAAATTAATCCTGTATCTAAAAATTTGCAGCCAATTTTACTTGTGTTTAAAATGTAACATGCCCCCATATAGGTGTGAAAATGTTACTGAGACCTGTTTCACGCTAATGCAATGCGGGAAATGCAGCAAATCCTGTACGTTTCCCGCACCTCATTGCAATCACGTAGCGTCCAATGCGATCTGGTGCAGCTGTTAATGTTAAATTAATGACACCATGAAACAGATTGCAAAATGCAGTGCGACTGCCAGCAATTGGATTGCATGAGTGAACACCCATGCGATGCGAATCAGGTAGAGAAAAAAGGGTCATGTACCATTTTGGTGCGGATCCGATGCAATTTGAGCCATACAAAATGTATGGCTCAAACCGCATTACACAGACATCACATGTGATGTGCACCGGAATGCGGAGTGATTCCTGTGCGAATCACATACGATATCAGAACCACACAAGTGTGAACCTAGACTGAATCCAACAGAATCCAATCGTTTGAGCATGCTTTTCAAGTTTATCTCTGCTCTGACATTTGTCATCTCTCCCCTTCCTCCCATAATGCTCACCACAATTTGAGAGAGAGACTGCATTTGTCTGACTATTACGTTTCTCTAGCAGGATGCCTCTTCTACAGATCACTAAGCAGTTTCCTGCTTAGTTTCGATAATAGAATAATGCAGGTCTTTGTGTTCTGAATGGACTCTGCATTATGGGATAGGTCAGGGGAGAGTGGAGTTGTGCATCAAGTCAACATTAATATCCAACTAAAGGTTTATTTGGGTAAATGTAAGTACATAAAGTAAAACTGGAATGCATAATTTAGTGACAGGCTAATTAAATTGAAGGCACTATTGTTTTATTAAAGCTGAACTCTGGGTAGATGGAAGATGAATCAATACAGCAAAGATCTTACGTTATGCAGAATCTCTTTTCCTTACTTGTGTGTCCATTCGCTTCAGATAGCTGTTTGAAAACTGCCTCAGAAGAGTCCCAGCATCTTAATTTCTTGTTCAGGTGACCAGTTATGACAGCAGTTCTCTGTACACTGAGCGATCAGTTGCCCCTTGCAGTTGAGCAGTTCTAATGTAATGCAGCCAATGCTTGCACACTACCTCTGCCTTCTGAGCTCTGCTCACCTATTCCCACACAGCTGCTGTTCCTCTCTCTCTGCCCCACTCCTGAGAGATAGAATAAAAAAATGATTGAAATGATGTACAGGCAGAGTAGGTGTGTGTGTGGGGCAGAGGGTGGGGGAAGAGCCAAATAAAGCTGGGTAACATTTAAGGCTATGGTGGCAGTATGCAATCTTGAGTAGATTTGCTCATCGTTTCTGTTGGCTAAGTAACATGCACTGCTCACTTTTATTTAAAATAGACTAAAAACAGGGATTAGTCCGCATCCTGTGCAGGGGCTACATACAGTTTATTACTTGGCTTCTATGTTCTCTATCATTGGGAAGTTACCTCTGTGCTTTAGACAGAATTTCCTCCATCCAGTGACCAGAGTAGTTTCTGTCTGCAGCACACAGGTAAATTCACACAGATAGGAAACACAGAAGCTAAGCAATAAGCTGTGCTTAACCGGTTTGTAGTTTTTGTAAATAACCGAGAACCGCTAAAGTGAGGAGAGTTTGAAAGTGCTACTAAACCCAGGACCCTACATTCACTATATCCAGTCTCCCACTGTACACAGAATATGGAAATGCAATTATTTTAGTGAATATAAACTGCTAAATACCTTTTCTCATCAGCAGTTATGGCAGTCTTGTGACTTTTATCAGTGTCCAGCAGAGCACTGGTTAAAGCTTGTAGGAGGAGTTTTCATTCTCCACTAGGAGGATGTAGGACCCCTGACCTCTGTCTGGACAGTGCTGATTGACCCTGTGCTGATCACATGCACTCTCCCAAGCAAAAAAAAAAAAACAAACTCTCTAGCAATACACACCAAACTGAGCATCTGCAGAGTAACTTCAAACCTCTGTTCTATTAGGAGATATTTAGGGGACAATGGAAGAAGGAGAGGTTCAGAGAAGAGAGAATCAAACATACTTTTACACAATGTGGAGAATTAACCCCTTAGGTTCCACAGTGAGTAAAAAGAATGCTTTACTGCATATACAGACTGATTTTTACTGTTGTGGGTTTAGTAACACTTTAAAACTCATTCATCCACTACACACATCCAAGATGTCCCAGCTCCCCAGTGCCAGCCTTTGGACTTCAGACAGACAGCTCTTGGACACACTGGGGTTATTTACTAAACTTGGAGAGTGCAAAATCTGGTGCAACTCTGCACAGAAACCAATCAGTACCCATGTTTTACTGCCAAAGCTTATTTGAACAAACTGAAGTTAGAACCTGATTGGCTACCATGCACAGCTGCACCAAATTCGGAGTGCACCAGCTTTAGCAAATGTACCTCACTACGTCACTTGGAAATTACATAGGGTGCCCAGCAGATCACTCCTCTTGGCTGATGAAGCTGCAAAGATCTTTGGAGCCCTGTCATAACTTAACAGGACAAAAGAAGAGGACTATAACTCTACAAGAAAAAGGGAGCAGGAGGCAGGTTTAGGGCTGCATTCAGTATATACCTAGAATTCAGCTTTAATGTAAACAAGTTAGGTTTGAACTGTTAGAAGGCACAGTAAGGTCCCATATTGACAGCTCAAGTTTTGAAAGGATAGCATTGTAAAGCACAAACAAAAACAATACCCTACACCAGTTTATGAGCTGGAAAGATCAATTATTTCACAGCACATGCAAGTCAGTTGTATCTACTTGATTTGTAAATTGGATTTTACTACATATATCATATACTGTAAACTGTGTTACAAAGTATATATCCCTTGAACTTGGGAGTCTTATCATTAAGGCTAAGCAATGCCCTGTTTGGTCAGGTGTTTTTTGTGCATATGTATTGTTTCTGGAAGTGTCACTGAATGAAAAAAAAAAAAGAATCACCTTATCCCAAGCTAAAACTGTGTGAGCCAAAGCTATACTATTAAATGGGGAGAGCATAGGTCAACATGTTATTCCACCACTGGCAAGCTCACAGCTGGAATAAATAACTAATCAGTTGCAGTGTCTTGTGTGTAGCTCATAAAGACTCTGCAAACCCTTGGGTCTCTCCTCCATTTCCAAATCTTCATGAGCTTAATCAGACCAGTCATCCTCATCGAATTCTGAAGAGTCATTCTCAGAGTCGCTGTATTCCACAGCTATACGGCGAGACAGGATAGTGGCCACATCATTACCTCCAACATCTCGTTTCTCATGCTCCAACTGCTCCTGCTCCACTTTGCGCAGTTGGAAACCTAGAAAAGATAGGTACAACTAGATATAAATGGACCATAAATGTATGAAGAAATGTACATTACCTATAAATATAAACTATGGCTAAGAATTACTGATATATAGGGGTGGAATATGTATTATGAACAACTGGGAATTAAACAGTAGAGAATTACACAAGCCTTGTTTGAATTAGGGGGCCTAGTCAAAAACAACTACAAGTACCTGAATATCTGCAGCAAAAAGTCAAACCTACAAGTGAGTAACGCTGAACAGCAAAATCTGAGGATCATTACTTTGTATCAGAATTAGAATACAATTGTGCTCAAAAAATTGCATACCCTGGTGGAAATTGTGACATTTTGGCATTGATACTGAAAATATGACTGACTATTATTATCACAAAGTTGACTCCTTTTAAATCATGATAACAGCAATCACCCAAATGGCCCCAATCAGAAGTTTACATACCCTGCAATATTTGGCCTTGGTACAGAATCAAAAGGTGACACACACAGCTAAACTGGCAACAAAAAGTACATTTCCAACATCTGTGACCTTATTAAACTAAAATTAGTGTGCTGGTATAAATAGTCAGTGAGTTTGTTAGCTCTCACGTGGATGCACTGAGCAGGCTAGATACTGAGCCAAGGTGAGCAGAAAAGAACTGTAAAAAGACCTGTTTAACAAGATAATGGAACTTTATAAAGATGGGAAAGGGTATAAGAAGATAACAAAAGCCTTGAATTAGCCAGTCAATACTGTTCAATCACTTACTAAGAAGTGGAAAATTCGGAGATCTCTTGCTACCAAGCCAAGGTCAGGTAAACCAAGAAATATTGCAGCTACAACTGCCAGAAGAATTGTTCAGGATACAAAGAAAAACCCACCGGTAACCTCAGAAGAAATACAGGCTGCTCTGAAAAAAGATGATGTGGGTTGTGTCAAGGAGCACAATGTTATGATACTTTAATGAAAATGTGCTCCATGGTTGAGTTGCTAGAAAGATGCCTTTACTGCGCCAATGCCACAAAAAAGCCTGGTTACAATATGCCAGACAACATCTTGACACGCCTCAAAGCTTTTCACACATTGTAGTTTGGAGTCACAACCATACGCACTATGTTTGGAGAGGGGTCAACAAGCCCTATAGCAATAAGAATACCATCCCCACTGTGAAACATGGTGGTGGCTCTGATGTTTTTGGGATGTGTGGGCTCTAAATTCACGGGTAAACTTGTGAAAATTGATGGATGAATGCAGCATGTTATTAGAAAATATTGTCAGGCAATTTGCATTCTTCTGCATGAAAGCTACACATGGGATGCTTTTGGACTTTCCTGCACCAACAACGACCCTAAGCATACCTCCCAAGTTCCTGAGATGGTCACGATAGACACCTATTAGCAACGATATGTAGTCACAGGACACACACCCTGCCAGGCCCATTAACCACTTGGTAACAGCGCTATAGATGAATGACGGCTACAGTGCTGTTGTCCAGTTCTGGGACGGCATCATATGACGTCCTGCCAGAACGCACCCTCCCGCATACCCCCAGTGGCACACACACCCAGCGATCTCTGTGATTGCTGAGTCCTAAGGACACAGCTGATCACGTGATGTAGTAAAAGGCCAATCACAGCGGCTCTTTTACCACGTGATCAGCTGTGTCCACATACACAGCAGATCACCAGGTAAATGCAGTTGTCGGCTGCACTTTCCTCACACTGTCACAGCATGAAGTACTGCCGATAACTGGCAATTGTCAGAAAACAGTTCGGCACTGATCATCAGGGCCCTGATGATCAGTGCCCAGCAGTGCCACCCACAAGTGCCAAGCAGTGCCACCCACAAGTGTCACCAGTCAGTGCCGTTAGTCAGTGCCACCCATCAGAGCTGCCTATTAGTGTCCATCAGTGCTGCCTATTAGTGCAGCCTCATCAATGCACATCAGTGAAGGAGAAATTACCTGTTTGCAACATTTTATAATAGAAACAAAAAAAAAAAACTTTAAGATTTTTGCTTTTTTTTTATAGCGCAAAAAAAAAAAAAAAAATCGCCACATTCAGTGGCGATCAAATACCACCAAAAGAAAGCACTATTTGTGTGAAAAAAATTATAACAATTTCATATGGGTACATGTTGCATGACCGCGCAATCGTCATTCAAATTGCGACAGTGCTGAAAGCTGAAAATTGGCCTGGGCAGGAAGGGGGTATACAGTGAAGAAAATAAGTATTTGATCCCCTGCTGATTTTGAATGTTTGCCCACTCACCAAGAAATGATCAGTCTAAAAATTGAATGGTAGGTGTATTGTAACATAGAGACAGAATAGCAACGAAAAAGTCCATTTCTAACAAATTATGCACTGATTTGCATGTTCATGAGGGAAATAAGTATTTGATCCCCTATCATTCAGCAGGATTTCTGGCTACCAGATCTTTCATACAGGTAACAAGCTGAGATTAGAAGCAGTCTCTTAAAGGGAGTGCTGCTAATCTCATTTTGTTACCTGTATAAAAGACACCTGTCCACAGGACCAATCAAACAATCAGATTCCAAACTCTCCACCATGACAAAGACCAAAAGCTGCCCAAGAATGTCAGGGACAAGAGTGTAGACCTACACAAGGCTGGACTGGGCTACAAGACTATCGCCAAGCAGCTTAGAGAGAAGGTGACAACAGTTGGTGCAAACATTCGCAAATGGAAGAAACACAAAACAACTGTCAGTCTCCCTAGGTTTGGTGCACCATGCAAGATATCACCTAGTGGAGTTTCAATAATCATGAAAACAGTGAGGAATCATCCCAGAACTACACATGAGGATCTTGTCAATGATCTCCAGGCAGCTGGGACCAGAGTCACCAAGAAAACAATTGGTAACACACTACGCCAACAAGGATTGAAATCCTGCAGTGCCCACAAGGACCCTCTGCTCAAGAAAGCACATTTCCAGGCCCGTCTGAAGTTTGCCACTGAACATCTGAATGATGCAGAGGAGGACTGGTTGAAAGTGTTGTGGTCAGATGAGACCAAAATCCAGCTCTTTGGCATCAACTCAACTCGCCGTGTTTGGAGGAGGAATGCTGCCTATGACCCCAAGAACACCATCCCAACTGTCAAACATGGTGGTGGAAACATTCTGCTTTGGGGGTGTTTTTCTGCTAAGGGGACAGGACAACTGCACCACATCAAAGGTACGATGGACAGGGCAATGTACCATCAAATCTTGGGTGAGAACCTTCTTCCCTCAGCCACGGCATTGAAAATGGGTCGTGGATGGGTGTTTCAGCATGACAATGACCCAAAACACACAGCCAAGGCAACAAAGGAGTGGCTCAAGAAGAAGCACATTAAGGTCCTGGAGTGGCCTAGCCAGTCTCCAAACCTTAATCCGATTGAAAATCTGTGGAGGGAGCTAAAAGTTCGAGTTGCCAAACGTCAGCCACCAAACCTTAATGACTTGGAGAGGATCTGCCAAGAGGAGTGGGCCAAAATCCCTCCTGAGATGTGTGCAACCCTGATGGCCAACTATAGGAAACATCTGACCTCTGTGATTGCCAACTAGGGGTTTGCCACCAAGTACTAAGTCATGTTTTGTGAAGGGGATCAAATACTTATTTCCCTCATAAACATGCAAATCAGTGCATAATTTGGTAGACATGCATTTCTTTTGAATTTTCTGTTGCTATTCTGTCTCTGTGTTACAATTCACCTACCGTTCGATTTTTAGACTGATCATTTCTTTGTGAGTGGGTAAACATTCAAAATCAGCAGGAGATCAAATACTTATTTCCTTCACTGTAAGTGCCCGGTAGGCAGTGGTTAAAGGAGAATTAAACACAAAAAATTGTTGGTTAAACTCAAGTAGTTTTTTGACCGGTAATATTCATTTTGTAAATATCCAAATGCAGCAATTTAAAAATTGGATAAAAGGTTTAGCATTGTAAAATATTTTTTGATAAACAGTGCATTTTATATACAACTATATAGATCATATAGGGACAAATGAGGAGGAAAGCGAGACAGAGGGACTTTGTTCCAAATGATGGACAGTCCCTCGAAATCAGGGACAGCTGGGAGTTATGCCTAAGCACAAGGACAAGTTGACCCTCCAGTGCTTACAGCAGAAAAAGATGAAGGTTCTAGAGTGTCCATCACAGTCTCCTAACCTTAATATCATTGAGCCACTCTGGGGAAATCTCAAACGTGCGGTTCATGCAAGACAACTAAACACTTTGCATGACCTGGAGGCATTTTGCCAAGACGAATGGGCAAGTATACCACCTGCAAGAATTGGGGGCCTTATACACAACTACTACAGAAGACTGCATGCTATCATGGATGTAAAGGGGGCAATGCACAGTATTAGGAACTAAGGGAATGCAGACTTTTGAACGGGGATCATTTTATTTGTTTTTGTGTTTTTATTAATGTGGCATTCTGTTATAACCTACAGTTGAATATGAATCCCATAAGAAATAAAAGAAATGCGTTTTGCCTGCTCATTCACGTTTTCTACGAATGGTACATACGGTATATTACCAATTCTCCAAGGGTATGCAAACTTTTGAGCACAACTGTATACCCTTGGTTTAGGTATTTTGGAAACTGCTGCCAGACTCTAGTGTGCCAAGTACATATAATTACCAATAACCCCAAGGTATTTAAGAAGCAAAATATGGATTATCCTTTAACATGGTTTTCATTACAGCTCCATAGTGGATCATCTATGCTTGCCTAATTAACAGACAGGAGATTTTAAAAACATTCCTCCTTAACCTTAACATTTTGTGTATTCCAAATAACCAAACAAGAACCAGTAAGAAAAAAGCATAAGCAACTAATTAAAACTATGTAAGAGGAATACTGGGGTACTGTCATGAAACCTTGTGTGCTGCAAGGAACCGGCAACTTCCACTAAACATCTATGAGAGACCAGTGGTACTCCATTCTTACACTTTCTTCCAAGTTGTCTGTCATTTTGCTTGGTGCACCTTCCATTATCTGAGCAAAA